CTCATTAGCATATTTGGAAAAAGCATTTTTTTATGAATATATTGATACCACACACTTGGTATTTCGAGTCAAATTATCGTTATGAACCGCCTGTTACAATTACAATTAAACCATATGCGAAAATGTCAAAAGTTGACATATGATATGTCATTCTATTCAGAGTGTCATTTTCTATCGAATAAAGCAGAAATATACCGAGGGTGCCGTTTAAAAATTAAAGTTATAGTCATTTCCGGTGAAACAGGAAGTGACCAAAAACAATTGAATGCGTCAATCAATCCTAATTTATTTCATATACTAACATACTAAATCTTGTTTTTTTTATTTGAAAATATAAAAAAATTATGGGGGATGAGCCACTTTTGAGACGCACCCGGTATAGTAAAGACAGTACCGAGTTAAATAAATGTAGTTTTTATTTTATCCACTTCCTATAACCTTCCTTGCTTTAATGGAACAGTTTTATGTTTTCTCTAATTTACATAATAAGACATCACTTAACCAGAAAAAAAATTACAACAATCATATTTTTTTTCTCTCCCTGTCGCCGATTCTATTATATCTGTGGAATAGATCCTGTTTTGATTAATATTAGGGGTTGTAAATGTTTGACTAAAATTAATAATTTATTATTAAATTCTAAAATTACCTAATTTCAATTATAAAATTTCTTCTATAACGTGTATTTTATTATTTTTATCCTTTTTGGACCTTTTTGGAAATTGTTTTCTCTAAAGTTTTATTTAAAAAACCTGTCCTAAATCTTAATAAAATATAAAAAAGTTTAAATACGATATATTTTTAATTTAATTATAGCTTCATTAAAATAAAAAAAATTACCCGGCTATGATACGGAGAGTTCAGGTGTACTTGAGAAACGAAAGACAGTGTTGTGTTTCTCGGCAGAGTCGTCAGGGAACGACCGTTACGACAGGGACAACCTATCTATCGCTCGTGTCGCACTCGTTATAACCTAAAACAATAACACAACAATTACAAGACAGTGCCTGACCGCATGTTCCAGCTATTTATGAATGAGATGCTCAGTCTATATTTTATTTTAAGTCTATGGTTCTGACAGTAAAATTATATTTCATGAAACTTTTTACACAGGAAATTATTGCACAGGGTGTTTTAAAGTTAGGATAAAAAAACCAACCCCTCGATTAACCCTGTATAATATGCCAATTACTGAAGTTTACAAAAAAACTGAGTTTACGAATTAAAGTTGATTAATATATATATAACAATAAAAATATACGACAATAAAAATATACGACCAAATTTTAGTTTAAAATTTTCCTAATAGTCAAAATAAAATCTTTAAAGAAAGGAACAATTTAAAAAAGTTTTTTAAAAATATAAATATTGAAGAAAAACTGAAAATGTGTTATTTTTATGTGATTTTTTTATATATATTTTTATTTTTTTTTATATATATGTGAAAATCGCTCTATATGTGTGTGTTTGTCAGAAAGTATGTATTGACAAAAATTAGGGAGCTGCAAAAGAAATTAGAAATTGAAATAGAATACCATTTTTATTAGACTATAAATTTTGTCCCCAAAATTTATCTGTAAACAATGTAGTCTTTTCAGTGAAAAAGTATGTGTGTTTGTATAAAAATTTGACATTCAAAAATGGCCGGCACAAAAATAATTTACTTTTAAAATAAAATGTAGAACAACAAAGAGTAACGCTGAGCGTTACCTTGCGTGACCTTATCTGTCTACATACTTAGCTAGGCTGTTGAACATTTATTTTATATATTTATTTGTGAAAAATGCAGCAATATACCACATGCGGGTGATACAATGTCATTAAAAGTTTCAATGTCCTTAAAAGTTCTTTGATTATAAATAATATACATATTCATTCAAAATAAATTTTTTTTAACTTAGTTAAGTCTAGTTACATAGATATCACATAAAAAGAATCTCTAAAATGTTATTATTTTTAGTATTACCACAGATATACTATCTATAGTATAGTATAAATTCAGAACAAAAGAAAAAAAAACGAATTTTGACATTTGTGGCTGGTTCAGTTCTTGAAAAAAGTCCAGATATTTGGTCATTGAAAGAGATTCTCTGATACAAGGCATACATTCGTTAGCATAAGCAATGAAAGTTTAAAATTTTTACCATAAGTAATTCTCCCTAATTGTCTAATAGGATACTGTGAATAACCCTGTATAATGTACCTATCATTTAAATTCATATGGTAAAAAATAATGACATGTAGTGATGAGAAAATGGTATTGGTCTTGCAGTTTAATAGTAGTCTTGACCTTGCTGCTGTAAAACTCTTGTGCGTTTTGAACTTTTTAATAGATTTTTACTAGAGCCTTTTTCAGCATAGAACATATATTTAAATAAATAGTATTTAAGTAAATTAATGCTCATGAAACTTAAAGTAAGATATAATATTTGTCTTGAGGATGACCCGGCTGTTTAAAAATAAACAAATTTCTTTAAATTCAATACATTCAGTTTCAAGACATTCTGTATACATAAATAATTATTGATTTTTCGCAAAACTAGGGAGAGGGAAATCAGACGACGAACAGAGATGATAGGTGTTATGTAATAGATTTTAAGACTACCGTTCGAGACGCAGTGATGTTGCCATGTTACTTTGGTTTTTAAGTTTTCGTTATTACACAAAGAATGTTATTAAAGGTAAAGTAAATGTTTTTTTCATTATTTAACTATAATGTCAGCTAAAGAATATATTTTATTTTTCTCTTGTAGTATTATGTGCTAGATCTTTTCCTTATTTATGTGTATGGTAACATGTGTATGGTATTTAATATAATCGATTTATGTTGTGAATAATTCCAGTTTAAAAGTAATCTAAAGACAATCGTGTACTATCCATTCGTGCCAATGTCTTTGGTTTAGTGTGACATTTAAGGCTACAGACCTATATAGACTACAGACCTATATAGACTACAGACCTATATAGACTACAGACCTATATAACCTTATAAATATTTTCAAAAATAATCCTGTTTTTTAGGTTTAAAAATGATGTAGTAAGGTTTAACCACGTGCAACCCCATATAGCACGTCCAAATGAAATTACGTTTCTACAAGGGAGTCATATGAGAAACAACATATGTTAAAGTGAACCTAAGTGTTCATCTAGTTCTAACATATACATATGAGATACACGCAGGTTTATATTGATAGAATTGTGTGATACAGTGTTTACTAGTTGTATACCGTATGCACTCAAGATTCTAAAGAGTTTTTTGTAACGTAACAAATAATTATTAAAATGATGAAATCTGACGTCGGTATATGAGACATACAATGTATAAGTCATATGTATGTGTGATACTTCGTATCATAGTTGTGCCTATAGTACACACCTTGTAAGAATGTGACGTATACACATAATATAAATATCTATACAGACACTTTGTAATAGTGTACTGATGTGTCTACATTCTAGCATGAAATGAAGGTGTGCGCATGCGCGGATAGCCTCAGCATATGTGTGTTGTGTCCTCTCTCCTTTCTCCTTTCTAGGAGTGGTATGTGTTTAGCAGCCATTATTGTTTTATCATTCGGAAGCTCTATATAAATGTTCTGTTTGTGTGTAGTTTAAAAGAGATTTTAAGGTAAGTACAAGTTTTTAATTACCTTGTTACACCTTCCTAAGAGTATTATTAATATTATAGCAGCGACTCTTCCCTTACTCGATACCCAATTTACCAAATTTTGACTCCAAAGAATGAAAACTCCAAATATTCTCGTATAAAGAGGTTAGCTGAGTTAGCTCTGCAATATATATATTTTTTTAATTTGGAAATAATAAAAATCTAAATGGACCAGAGAAAGAAAGATTTAAACACTTCAAAGAACTTCTTACACTGATATTCGGTAAGTTATTGATGGATCAATATACAGATATGTTTAATATTCAATAATCAGTTTCATATAAAATTTAAGGGTGAGATTGTTAATCTGGAAATAAAATACAACAAAGTCCAACAGAGTGCTCGATGAATGAGTATGCTAATAAACCAACTGCTTGTAGGGAAAAGAGGAGAAAAAACCTGAAAAAATGACTAAACGAGGTCCACCAAATCGTGGCGATATACCAGTGTTTACCATTTTAGTATGTTGTTATACTAGGTACTTATATTTTTAATATATTTTGATACAAATTCTGTTCTTTTACAGTGTTTTCTTACTTCTGGTTTCTGCAGTGTAAATAATTATTATTATTCTGTTATTTGCGCTATTGCGTTCCATGATATAAAGAAATATAAGAATTTTATTTTTTAACCACTTAATTCATTTTATGGAAGAAAAATGGTACATTTAATACAAAACAAAAATGGAACAATTTTAAGGCTACTTCTCTTCAACTTACGATCGAGATACTTTTGGAAAATACAAAGTTTTGCCTTCCTAATTTTCGTTCTAAAAATATATAATTGATATCATTGAATAAATATTTCTTAAAAAGAACGAAATGTTAGGCATCAAAACTTGTATTATTTCCTAAATTCGTTCATAAGAAGTAGTTTTATCTAGCACAAGATGTCTATACGAAGCAAAATACATACGTATACACGCGGTAGTCACAACTGCAATGTGTAAACATAGTTTAAACGTAATACACAAGTACTGTGTATCCTACGGCACACTGTGTTCCCTTACTTTGTGTATACGTAAATGCTATACTGTGGCTACATTGTGTGAGGCGGACGTTTAACCTTTGTGCATACGTGTTGAACTACAATGTGTAAACGTAGCATATTGACATCGGGGGAATTGTGTCACCCTGTGTCTACATCTAATAATGTAAACACATCGTAAATGTGATTTGATGTGCTGTATGGGACTTTTCTCTAATTTAGTCATTTTTGAAAAAAAAATGAATGATAAAAATAATAAAATATTGTTCTGTGTCGATTTTATTGTTACCCGGTATATTATATAGGAAGTAATTTCTAATAAATTAATCATTTTTTGTTGTTGCAGAACGTGCCCTAGAAATAAGCGAATATGACTCGCTCGCGACGACTTCCTACATGGCCGGCAGGCATTTGAGTAAGTCCGCGTCCGAACTGAGTAGCCCAAGAGAAATGCCCGAAGCCAGGTGTAGATCTGCCGCACCGGCAGATGCCGAACATCCCCACATCTCCGTGTATCAAAAAGCACACAGTTTTTTTGCTCAATTAAAGGTAGGTAAAGCCAATACATTGTTTTTAAGTGGTTTCTTATATTTAAGTTTTGTTATAGGTAGCGATTTTTGAACATTTCTTTTGTTTTACTCTCTTATAATACTTTAAATTATACTAATCCTTTCCCTATCAGCATATTTTCCTTTTATAGGCCAGTGCAAATAATTTTGAATTTGCAAAAAATTTTAGAAAGCTGCGACCATCGAAAATAGTTAGCCTTAGTAACCCTTATTAACATACTAAAAATCCCTATTTGTCCGATGTGTGCGTCATCAAAAAAATCGACCGCCATCTTGAATTTTGGTACTTTTTGGGAAAAAAAATGTAAATAACTGGAAAACGGTGCATTATAGCGAAAAATTTCAAGAGGGAAAAATTAAAGAGAATAAAAAACTCTATTAGAATCAATAAAGAGTAGTTTATTATCCTAACGCAGTGACGTACAAAAATTTTTTGAAAATCGAGCAATTTTTAAAAGGAATCACCGAAATGCAAATTACTATTTTTTAAGCTTATTAACAAATAACATGGTTATTTAGCATCAATTCAACTAAAATACAATATTTATTGGTGGTTTAATAATATTTCAAAATTAATAAAAATTGTCAAAGCTAAACTTTACTAAATACATGTGTGCTAATAATGTGCGAAAGCTGCCTCCACAAGTGCAAATAGTCCCGACCGGGACAAGGTGGAGACTACTTTCGCACATTATTAGTACACATGTATTTAGAAGCTTAAAGGATAGCTAAAAGGATAGATTTTACAATTTTAACACCAATAAAAAATATTTCTTGAAAATATCACAAGGACTGTATTTCAGTTGAATTGATGCTAAATATCTATGTTATTTGTTTAAAAAATTAGTAATTTGCATTTCGGTGATTCCTTTTAAAAATTGCTCGATTTTCAAAATTTTTTTGTACGTCATTGCGTTAGGATAATAAACTATTTTTTATTGATTCTAATAGAGTTTTTTATTCTCTTTAATTTTTACCTCTTGAAGTTTTTCGCTATAACAAACCGTTTTCGAGTTATTTACATTTTTTCCCAAAAAATACCAAAATTCAAGATGGCGGCCGATTTTTTTTTGATGACGCACACATCGGACAAATGGGGACTTTTAGTATGTTAATAAGGGTTACTAAGGCTAACTATTTTCAATGGTCGCAGCCAGGGGGGTGACAGTAAACCGGAAAATTGGAAACAGTTTTGGCGCGGTTCAACCCAGGCAGAAAGCATGGCCTTCTAGACTGTCCTAGACAAAAATCTGAATATTTCTATATGATTTCTGTCAATTTCTGCTACGGAACATTTTTATGCACGTCGGCGTCCTGTTCTTTTGCCTTTTGTCTGTGTGTCAGCGTCAGCTCCCGAGGCCTCTGGCAAGGTCGGGCGCCATTTTAATTTTTGCTGTTTAGATTTGATTGGAAATTGGAAGTTTGTTTCTGATATTTCGGCTGAAATTTATAAGTACAAAGATGTTTTTTGATATAAAGTTCCTTGTTAACACTCTAATAAAGTATATATATGATATTAATTACATGAAGAAAATGATGAAATCGACGTTTCTGCGTGTAGTAGGTATGGGCCATATTATATGTAAATAGGTAATATATTAACTGTTTTTATATTTTTTTAGCTTTAAACCCAAGGATCTTGGGATATTCTTTGCCAAGGATTTTTCCGTATCTCTACTTTAAAGACTGATCGGTGATTTTGAGCAACTGAAAGCAAGTTATACAAGGTAAATTATGATTATTGAAGTATTATTAGCCTACATTAATTTTCTACAAGATGAACAGATATGCGTAATTACATATTACATAGGTACCTATTATGTATTTTCATAGCAATAATGCTATAAATCTATGTATGTAGATTATTTTTAAAATACAAATGAGGTATTAGATGTATATGTATTATATTTTTTATTCATTTTATTTACATTCAAGTCCTGTTTGATTTAATTCACAAAAGTCTTATGTACCTATATTTATATTTTTTACATATTTTTTTTGATTCCAGGTTTTGTGTGGGTTCCGGTTGCCTTTTTCCTGCTTCCAGTTATTTAGTTTTATGTCCGTGAAGCTGTGAAAACATTTATTTATCTTCAAGTTTCTGTAAGTCAATGCACTGTTACTTTACTAATTCGCTTTAACACAGCATCTCTGATATTATTTAAATATTTGATATTGATACAGTAGTTTATTGGATTATAGCTCTTTAATTGTGTTGATTTGCATATTTACATTGTTCTAAATTCCAAATAAATATTTTTGAGTAATTTTGTTGTATTATTTACTACTAGAAAGAGTAAAAAGTATATTAACCCTCATTTAAACCTCCTGAACAGCCCGCCATTAAAAACCGGAAACGGAAATAAATTTCATAAAATTGAAATTGTCATGTCTATGTCATGTCAAATGTCCCAGCCGCCATATCTGAAAATTAGTTACCCAGGCAGCCACGCTGTTTCCATAATTTAACATTGACTTGACACTTCTTCTTGTATTTATTATTTTATGGTCGCAGCTTTCTAAAAATTTTTGCAATTTCAACATGGTGAATGTCATAACTGCACTGGGGTATTAATATAATGTTCAATTTTCTAAAGAATGAATAAGCCGGTGTATGAATGATTACATGAGGGAGAGGGGGGTTATACATGAAGATTTTCCTGTTGTAGATGGGACAGGGTAACCTCTGATAACATATGTTTGTCCTCCGAGGGTATACATCCTTCGACGGTTTTGGTTTGGCCCCATTGTCCTTCACAGTCAAGGACCTTGTCTCTGGCTGCAGCACCCGTGAGGTGGAGACTGGAGGATCTGTTCTCCATTTTCTCTACCTCATTAACTTGGTCTCTCCTTAGACGCGATACCGGTGTTGTCCCGGATCTGTAATAGAGGATATATCTCTCTTTCTCTATTGCCTCCTTGGATTTGAGGTCAATTCCTATTGTGAGGATATGACCATGGCTCTCCGCACGTTGATTACTCGCCAACTCGATGTCCTTACATTGGAATTCTGAGCCTGGGTAATTCTCAGCAGGTAGATGTTATACCGGGTGCGTCTTAAAAGTGGCTCACCCCTATAACTTTTTTATTTTTCAAATTAAAAATCGAGATTTAGCATGTTAGTATATGACATAAATTAGATATAGACTTATTCAATTATTTTCGGTCACTTCCTGTTTCACCGGAAATGACTACAACTTTTGATTTTTAAATGGCACCCTCGATTTTTTGTTACTTTATTCGATAGAAAATGACACTCTGATTAGAATGACACATCATATATCAACTTTTGACATTTTCGAATATGGTTTACTAACTGCAACATGCTATTCATAACGCAAACTTGACTCAAAATATAAGTGTGTGATACCAAATTATTCGTAAAAAATGCTTTTTCTAAATATCCAGCCACCCTTGTTCCATTTGAAAAAAAATATTAAAGATATTAAGATATGATTAAAAATACGATTTAGGCATATTTTAACCGGCCAGGACATGACACTAAAACATTAGACAATCAAATCTATTTTTTCAAGGCTCCTTGATTAAAAATTAGTGTTTTTAACACAGCCATGGGACTCTAGATTGATATTTAAAATAAAATTTTGTTTTAAACGAAAATGTCAAAAGTTGATATATGATATGTCATTCTATTCAGAGTGTCGTTTTCTATCGAATAAATTAAAAAAAATACCGAGGGTGCCATTTAAAAATAAAAAGTTGTAGTAATTTCCGGTGAAACAAGAATTGGCCGGAAAGAATTGAATACGTTAGTCAATTTTAATTTATATCATATACTAACATACCAAATCTCGTTTATTTATCTGAAAAAATAAAAAAGATATAGGGGGTGAGCTACTTTTCAGACGCACCCGGTATATCCGAGGTTATTATCTTTTAAGAAATGAAAGACAAAAGTTTAAATAACACCTATATTTATTAGAAAATGAATAGGAAAAAAAAACAATATAAAAAAAATAAAAGAAGAATAAGAAAAACAATTTAGAAATTAAGAGAACTGTAATATTACAAGAATTAAACTACCCCAAAATCATAAAAGTTCCAATAATTACCAATACTTAATAAGTAATAGCAAAAGACCCAAAAGACCACATTTCATCACGCTCTCCCAAAACTCCATCTCTTCGCAGATTTCCATCTCTCCCTTTCCGCTTTCCACTGTTTGAGATTGCGCTGGGTTTTCCGCCGGCCGGCGCCACGTGAAAACCGACACGAGATTTTCACAGTTATCAGCGTGGTGTGACCGATTTTCCGCTCATTCGTCTTTTCAGACTCGCCTGGGCCACCACAGCAAGCGCGAGCGTCGCCACAAGTCGCCCCATCGCCAAGAGTCGTCCGATTACGCGGCTGATCTGAGCAGCGAGCACAGCACTCCGAGCACGGCGAGTCCGAGGCACCGGCTCTACAATCGCACAGGTCAGTGGATAGAGATAAGAAAAAATCTAAGTTTTCTTAAGCCTCCCATACACTTTAGTTATTTTGCTCGGTTTTAACTGAACAGGCATGACTGTTCGTTTTGCCTGTTCGTTCAATATCTGTCTTCATCAGATAGTTTAAAGCTTCATTCAGAACCTCGTAATTAGTGGTTTCAATTAGCGTAGAAGATCCTTTATGTAAGCATTCAGAACGTCAAAATTAGTGGTACCTACACATTTTCAGTTAGTAGAAAAAGTTATCAAACTTTTAACTTTTCCACTAATTATACTTCAAAATTTGCGAGAAAGGTCATTTTGGCCTTTGATTATCTTTCGCCAAGAGAAATTGTGGTTAGAAAGCAAAAGCTGATTGTTTTATAAGCTAAATATTAGGAACTATCGGGTAGAAATTCTTAGTACCTACTTCTTAGTTATTTATACAGGGTGTCCAAATATTATTTGGACATAGAACTACTACGTATTTTTGGAATCAAAATAAGTTCATTGGACACAATTTACTTTTATACCAAAGTGCTTTGTTTGTCCTCTAGAGGGCATCATACTTTAAACAAAGAAACATTTTTTAAGTTATTTTAAGAACTATTATTTCGATTTGAATGAGATTTGAGATGCCTATATTGTATTAATGGCTTTAACATTTGACCTTTCACAAAAATCAGGAAAAAGTACTGGGAGTTGAAAGCTTCCCCACCCCTACATAAATTTTAGTAAAAATATTTTCCAACTCCACTGAGAACCGATTCTTTTTGTAAAATGGTGCTTCTAGTATTTACTACATTTTTTTGACTTACAAAAAATGTTTCTTATCACATCAAGCCATGTAGACGCATAAAATTTAGTATGCACACATGCACTAACAATCTAGTTGGAAAAATATGGAATATTATAATATAGAACGTCAACGGTTTTTGTAGACGTATCTGTTTAAAAAAAAAATAAAGTGTTTTTGAATGGTTGCAGATAACGTTAAGCATTTTTTTGTCCGTGAGGCAAATTTGTTCATTAAATTTCTTCCAGTGGTGAAATACCCAAAGGACTTTTTTGGATAGATGAATTTGCCACATAGGTATAGATATTTTTTATAAATTATTATGTTAGTATCATACATAATATTTAACAATAAGCTTCATAAATTTTAAATTAATTAATGTTAATTTAAAATTAATTAAGTTATATATATATATATATATATATATATATATATATATATATATATATATATATATATATATATATATATATATATATATATATATATATATATATATATATATATATATATATATATATATATATATATATATATATATATATATATATATATATATATATATATATATATATATATATATATAGGCCACACCTATTATCACGTACTCCTTTGGTGTAATAACATGGACGGAGAATGAACTGCACCAACTCGATGTAATAACTCGAAAGATGATGCACATGGAAAAAAGCTTGCACACAAAATCATCTGTCCCAAGGCTCTATCTACCAAGGGAACAGGGAGGACGCGGTCTTCTCAGTTTAGAAAGCTTACACCAAAGAGTGCTCCTAAGCACGGCGTACACACTCCTTAAAACTTAAGATCCTCTACTAGTAATGGTACGAGACCACGAGAAAGAAGAAATTGGTGGATTCATTTTCAAAGTAGCAGAAAAAGCAGCGAATAAACTCAATCTAATATTCGATCTTCAGCGCCAACATCCAGAATCCATCACAGAACACAACGCCACACAGGTAGTCAACCGAATTAGGTCCGCACAGAACAGGAGGTTCTTGCAAAATCACGTGGAGAAACCAGTGCACGGAGCCTTCTATAACATAATGACACAACAGCAGCTTTCTGAGAGACTATCATTTGCTTTCCTGAGGTCGAGCGGCTTAAGATCTGAGACAGAGGGATTTATACTGGCATGCCAGGACGGTGTCTATGGCTCTTTGGTGTACCGTAGCCGTATTATGGGCCAACAAATCGAAGATATAAGATGTAGAGTATGCCATCAAGCTCCGGAGACCCTGTGGCACATACTATCAGCCTGCCCTACTTATGCAGCTTCGGCTTATACCCAGCGCCATAACGCCGCATTGAGGGTGATATACTATCACCTTCGTCATATGCATGGATTTGATGAAACGCCAGTGCTACCACAAACACCGAAAGAAATTGAGTCCTTGGTGGAAAACGAAACAACCAAAATTTACTGGAACTATCCATTCCAGGCCTTCGGACAAATACGGGCGAACAGACCAGACATAGTTCTCCAGGATATAGCGAAGAAAATAATTTATGTCATAGAATTCTCGGCGCCATCAGAGAAGAACATAATCAGTAAAGAAGAGGAAAAGAGGGAGAAGTACCAGGAACTCCTGGAGCAAATGCGCAGAATGTACGCTGATCATTCTGTAAGGTTGGTGGTACTAGTGATAGGAAGTTTAGGAGGAGTTAAAGATACCCTGCTCCAGCAATTGAAACTGATACCAGCGTGTTATAATGTAGCGGAACGACTTGCTGCAAGCATGCAGAAGGCTGTGATTTTGGGCTCTCTCAAAATACTCAGGGCACACGATACGCGGATTCAGTGAACGGCTTACCAGACGGACGTCAGGAGTTGAACACTGAAAGAGGACACCGGCAAATTTCCTTCAAGTGTCGGAGCTGAAGGAAGCAAACCGTAAAAAAAAAAAATATATATATATATATATAGTATAGAGTATTATAACGTATGTATCTATATATATATATATATATATATATATATATATATATATATATATATATATATATATATATATATATATATATATATATATATATAGAGTATTATAACTTATAATACTCTTTTTAATACTCTTTTTACATACGGAAATCTCGACCCAAGACTAACCTTTGCCAGCCCTTAGTATATATATTTTTTTAAAAATGTGTTTATTTTTTTTAAGTTTGATACTCTCTAATGGATTAACGAAGCAATTTTGTATAGAGATAGAATTACGTCCAATTAAAGGTTCTTCCGTTTCCCTTCCGTTCCATATCCTTTCCTTCCGTACATTTTTTGGCGGGCGGATTGAAGCGTATCGGAAACAGCGTTGTTAAATTCTTACATTTTGCTGATATTTATTCATTCTTTCACTTCTTAATTAAATCTATTACCTTTTATAAAAGATACAATTTTTTAAAATAAAACTTTCGTAATGATATAAATTGTACAATAAAAAGTATGAAACTGATACGGAACGGAAGCTTACGTATAGCGTCAGTACAATAAAAAATACGGAACGGATATGGAATCGATATGGAATGGAAACGGAAGGTATAATGAGAATCAACCTTTACTTATTTTGATTCTATAAATACGTAGTAGTTTTATGTCCACAGAATATTGGGACACCCTATATATTGTTTTCGGTGCTTGCATGACGTCGACAAAAATGACCACTAACTTCACTAACACTTTCAAATTCACTAAACACAATGTTATAATAATTGATAAAACCGCAGGTAAAACTTCCAGTGTATACCTACGTTAGTCTTTAAGCCATCTCATCTGACATGTAAAACGTTAGGTCTAAACGCGACTGAGATGAAAAACCGTCTCATCGATCTTCGGTTTTAACTGACAGGTAAAACGCTATTTGTAGATGGGGCTTTAAAAAATTGCAAAAATTTTCGGAGCTGTTAGATTTCGATTAAAAAAATGTATTTTCTTTTTGATGCTTTTCAAACTGGTGTAAAATAATCTTAAATAAGTGCAAATACTTTTAGCGGCGCTGTATTTCGACTCAATAAGCACCTCGATAAAGTTTTTCATCGCAAAAAAAAACAATAAAAAATTCTCAGAGTTAAATAAGTCATAATTTTATGACTACACCACCCCTAAACTATTTATACGTAGCAAGTTTAAGTCTCACTCTATATAATGATTACTTTTTGTATTTATTTTATACAAGTAAATTCGGAGAATACAAGAAGTTTCGGAAAATCTGAAACACAGATAATACTTCTAACTATAGAGTATACAAGAATCTGTTTAACTTTTCAAGATGTTCGTATTGATTCGTTGCCAAAACTTTGACTTCGACTTCTAATTGACTTTCTTTGCTTGTTTTAGCTGTTTTCTTTCCAATTATTTTTTTAACAAATGTTTTTCTATTTTTAGCAAGCCTGAGAAGACGGATATACGGCCGCAAAGGCGAGTTCTATTTTTTTTCGTTTAGTTCTGTATTATTCTCTGCTTTGCATGAATTATTTATGTCCATTTTCTTAGTTATGTTTATTAGCTAGTTACCTAGTTTGCTTTTCCCAGTTTATTGTGTACAGCCAGCGTCTCTTCTTGAGAACAACACTAATTTAAATTTTATTATTCCTTCATTAATCTTTTAATCCTCTACCTATCCGGTGCGTCTCAAAAGTGGCTCATCCCAATAACTTTTTTGTTTTTCCAGATAAAAAACGAAATTTACTATGTTGGTATATGACATAAATTAGGATTGATTGACGTATTTAATTGTTTCCGGTCACTTCCTGTTTCACCGGAAATGACTACAACTTTTGAATTTTAAATAGCACCCTCCGTATTTTTTTACTTAGGTTAAAATAACTAAAATGGCATTCTGAATAGAAAAAGTGAATAGAATGTCATAATATGGTATTTTAAATTTCGATTTAGAGTGTGCAGGGCAATTTTTAATCAAAGAGCCTTGCAAAAGCCAGGCCAGTTACATTATGCCCAAATCGTATTTTTAGTCATATCTCAATTTTTTCAAATACAACAAAGGTGGCTTATTAGCATATTTGGAAAAAGTATTTTTTTACGAATAATTTGGTACCGCACACTTGGTATTTCGAGTCAGACTGTCGTTATGAATCGCATGCTACAATATCAAATAAACCACATTCGAAAATGTGAAAGGTTGACATAATATCGAGAGTCACAGTGCAGGTACCCTATGATCGAATAAAAACGGCGTCAGCGA